CGCTCCCGGACCGGGGATGCTGTTGAATTCGTTGCTTGAACAGAAATGCCTTTTTCTGTCGATACCGACTCGTATAGTTCTCGCAAAACTCTCTTATCTTCGTCATCAATGGACAAATTATCGACATTTACTGTTACGCCTTTCATTTTTTTTTGTTCAGGAATATGAAATCCTCTTGTCAACTGCAAAGTAGAACACTAGAATAAATCTGAATGTATAATCTATTTTTTTTATCCCCTTTTGTATTGTATAATACACGTGATATTATCAACAATACAACAATCTTCAACTAAACAGTATGCAAATATTACAACCTTAAGTAATACAATCACGAGGGCGTAGCCTCCCAAAAAATATATTTCTGGTTATACTGTAATTTAATTTGGCTTATGTTGACCAACTAATAACATAATAATAAATGTGGCCGGCATATAGAATACATTTTTGATTTATACCAATGTCTTAGTAGACGTAACTTTATGAATTACGAGTTTAATGCATACAGTAAAACAATATACATACGTTGTTAATTTAGCTTATTATTATGTCAGTTAAAATTAAAAATAACAATGAATTTCAACCAAACGTAAATCCTCGAACAACTATGACATCAACTCAAAAGTTAACTTGTTTTATTAATAATAGATTTATACGATGTCTTAAATAATAGTTACTTTTAGTATTTTAATATACATAGCAAAATTAAGTAATGCTTTTTCTCTCACCTTCTATACATAAACAGATAATATATTGTCCAACATAAGCAATTAATGATTTTTTTTAGCTGAATTAATATTACTTGTAATTAAACAATGCTTTTACAAAAAACAACCACTACAAACGGGATTCAAACAACAGTAGCCACTGCACAGGCAATTGTGGCGGTTGTAGTACTGTCTAGGAAAAGAATAGTCTCGGTATAAGACGAGGGTATTCCGTCCGGCGTTTGAACTGATAAAAATAATCGTTCAAAAGAAGTTCCGCTTTTAATCGGACAAGACGGACTTCCAGAAATTCGGCAAATTCACCAGTAAAATCATATGAAGTTTGGCCATTCGCATTACTGAAAAGAATGACCGTGTCGTCGGGAAAATTAGTTTTGCGCGGTCCCGGAAATATTATAAGTAGCAAGTTGGCCTGCAACGACAGATCCGGTGATACTGTTACATCGAGTGTTGGACATTGTCCAAAAACATTAGTCCGTTTGTTTAGTTGGTGCGGAATAGCATTGATTACTGGAATCGTAGCAAGAAGGGTTCGAGTCATGGCTTTTGCTAAATATTAAATCAACAGATCTGTAATCAAGCAAGCCAAAACGCCACCATTTAAGTGCCAATAGAAGAAAGGTAAAATATTATCAACTTTGAATTCAAAATAACATATCGTTTGCTACATATAGTATTTACACAGATTATGTACAGGCCCCCATTGTTGAAGAATGTATTTTCCGCTATTTCATTTTTCGAATTTTTGGCAAGGAAAATCCTCTTGCTTACCTTTGTTCTTTTTTCGCCTTCATTTTGGCTACATCAATCTTCTACTTTTTACTGGTATGCCTAAATAAAAAACGTCGGAACATTAGTCAATCACTGCAAACACGCTCTTTATGGAGACCTGCATGTATTAACGTCAAATCTTGATATTACACTAAAATTACAACGTAGTTGCATCACAATTAAATGCATACTTTCAGGGATTTCCATTATTTAGTTTTTGCATTGTAAATATTTCAATATAGTGTGTAATAGCACATGAAGTATTTAGAAAGGAAGTACAGTCGTCCCCCTCTACAGTCAGCCCCCTCTATAAGCACACCATGTTGAGAACCAATTACTATCAAACTTATAGAAAAAAACTTCTATGTAGTCACGACCTCTTTATAAGCACACTTCCAACAAAAGTTGCATTGTTCCCGACAGCGTGACTATAGAGGGGGACGACTGTATATCTGTGATGGGAACTTGAAAAAAGACTATACAGTGCAGAATATGGAGGGCGTGCATTAATGTCTAACACCCGCGCTTGGGAATAAGACGAGGTGTACAATATGTTCGAATGGCAAAGCCAAAATCAGAATGAACAGAAATACCTCTCTATCGGTGTCATCGTAATTGTCTCTCCTAATAAACCAATAAAAAACGAAAATAATACGGCATTAGCTCTACTCGAATTTCTAATGGGCACGCGTCAGTATCGGATAGTAGGCCCTTCCGGGAGCAACAACAACTTTCTGAACCAAAGGATTAGAAAAAAAGAATATATTTAGAATGACGAGGATTTAACCAGCAAATAATAGGCTTTCTCTCCTTTCAGGGAGGATATGCAATTAGCGGAGGACTTGGAGTTTCGCGCGTCTACACCTCGATTAACCGCTAAAGATATATTTGCGCCAACAAGAATTAGCAGAGAACTCGGTCAATCGAGAGGAAAAAATAAACGGTGTGCTCTCTCTATTTCTTCTAAATTACAACCCCTATTCATCCAGTATATGCCATCATTAAACTCAGAATCACACAACTTAAATAGACAGCGTCGATCCAACGGCATTTCTGAAATCACAATTGTCTGTGAATAATAATTCCATATATAGAAAGCTCTCCAAAACCATATTCCACTATAAAAGCACCACAAGCAAGCCATACCTTAAATGATGTCGCCACTATATTGTCAAACTCTATCTATATCGTCATCCCCTTAATGCTGCTTGCAAAGTAATCTATGAACATTCTGCAAACATTAATTCATATATTCTGCTATGAACATAGTGTCTGGTCGCTTTCCGTTCTGCCTTTGCTTGCTAGGCTTTGTCGTTACGCTCTGTTATGGAAAAAGTATAAATAGAGAATATTTCTTAATATTGAAGAAACATAAGCATCCGCTCACGTACTAATATATGAACAGATACCAACTAGCATGTCTTTAACATAGCTCAAATAATAGGACAATGATGTACATTCTCTCACAAAAACATCATATGGCGAGAATTATGACGGTATATAAATCATAGCAACTTTTCCTTCAACTTATGTCAATTGTTGTAAACATCAAGCAAAGCAAAGAATAGAATATGAACGTAGTGAATGCGTGCCGAATTTGGCGTATTATCTATATATAGCACAAAGATTGCTTTCGCTCTATAAACTTAATTGAGATATATTTATTCTTACCATAAAGACTTGAATTATCACATTCCATTCTTGTAAAAAATCCATGATATGGACATGAACCAATTATGGCGATGCAGCGACGTTCTTGAAAAAGTCGTGGATGCAACGTGTATTCTTATCTAATTGGTATTTGAAGAATTTTGTCGCTTCCAGTGCTAACGCTCTGAAGTAGATAACTATGGATCAGAGAGTTTTACTGTTGAACTCGTAGCATCTTGTAATACTTACAGGGTTTCACCACGGTCAGGTTTTCGGATTTGACATCGGCTAACCAGGTGTGAACGTGCTGAGCCTTGCTTCTTTTGAGATTCCCTTCTCAGTAGATTGTCTAACAATCTCGAATCTCGAAGACTGCACACTTCTTCAAAGGCGTCATCAAACTAACACAGGAGAAAACGCTTGAGTTAGATATATTCCTATACTAATACGTCTGATGGTGATCAAACCTGAGCTCGTATGACTTTGGATACAACTGCACTCTAGTCATCAAAATCATATTACAGAAAGCTTTTCAACGAACAATGTTAATAATCAACCTTCAAAGGTAATCCTTGAAGCTTTTGATATTTTCTGTGTGATTGTTGTAACTACTTGATGAATATTTTCACCAAGGCCTTATACAACGCGCGATAGGTAATTTAATGGCTCGAAGAGCGGTCAAAGATAAACCCAACACATGGCAAACACGTCTAACAGGCAGATTTGACTGCTGTATTATTGGGAGATGTGCGACTTGCATAACAATACACTGCTCGAAATCTTTTTACGCGTTGTGAATGATGACGTGAGTGACGATTTTTTGGGTATCTCACTTATTATGGTATGCTACCCTTATTACATATTATGAAGGCAAACTACGGTAGTTTGTTGTCCTTGAAATTCGCTAGGCACTTGGGCTACGCCAACGACGATTTGGTCATTGGATAGCGTATGAGCGAGTTGCTTTTAGTAGCTTTGATAATATCTTCGCGGGTCTGCGGGAAAATCATAATAAACTGCAACGTTGAACACTCTGATTATTAAAAGTGTCATCAATGAAATTTTTCACCAACTTAAAAATGGTACGCAGCAATGGGTTCTTGCTGACAATAATCTTTACAATAAATCGGATCTTAAATTCGAGAGTAAAAATTACTTTGGTGGTCAATAACCACCTGAATAACTGTGAGAATTTACAAAGTGCCGTATATTGATGGTTCATAGAGCGACCGTGGGAAAGCCAGTACATTTACAGTAACAACAATAACTTGACCGGTGATAGCAACTGACAATAAAAGTTTAGAAGAATGTAAACATGTTTGTTATTTGTTTTTCCATATCAGCAACCCCACAATAGTTCCTGATGGGATTGACAGACAAGGGTAAGCGATCTGCACATATTGAATAAAGGTTTTATTCCTTATTCTCTCAAAAGCGTGAGATGATCTAACTGTCATCATATTAATTTCGTTTCGGGTCAAAAAATTTTAGAGCTAGGCAAATCTCTTTCTACTGCCAGAATTTTACATGTTCAACCAGATTGTTCGTCTAAGATTGTGTGATTTGAAACATTAGCTTCGGTACGTTGCAATAAACGTGCCCGAATGAATTTTATTATACAATATCCGTGCATACTCACTGTGACTTTCGCAATATATCACCAACTTTTTATCTACAAAGCTTGACTGCTCGAGAGCAATCTCGCCAGAAAATATCGTGTGCGATCTTACAGACGCATCTTACAAAAGCTTATACGATAATCAACCGTTCGTTCGTTTCCTCACACACACACGCACATCAGAGCCCAATGAATTGCTTCTTCTCTTCGTACCAAAAACTTGTTTCACCTCACGCTCAAGTCTTTTCCACGATTAACAGAGCAATCATACATCCAGACAAAGTAATCAATGTCAGGCCAGCCCCAACTACAACCCCTCCCCTACTTGCTGGAAATTCACCCATCGTCAGTGTATGCTGTGAATGGAAATATCTTGTAATGCCGAGAACAAGGAATATTATTCCGAGAACAGTAAACGTTATCCCTATAGCTTTGCCAACGACATCTTTTTCTGAATGGTCATGTTTCGAAGGATTTAGGCGGAAGAGTTGTGTGACGGCTAGTTGGAAAAACGTAGAGGCATTAGATGCGACGTTTCAATTGTAAATAGTGACGATCGAACGGATACTCACCAATGCCGATGCTCACAAAAGAGAGAGATGTACGTAGCCATGCTAGAAATGTTCTTTCGTTAGCTGCATAAAGAACATTAGATTCATTGTGTTAACCATAATTCAAGCTATTAATATATATCATCGATACTCATATCAATCATACCCAAATGATCTCTCGCCACACTTGCTTTATTCTCCAAACACAAGGTCGGATTCCACTTCAAAAGTGCATGAATACCTCCTTTTGTCATATTCGCAGGAGTCTCTTCTCTCACATCATTCACAATATTAATTGTTTCTTGCTTAGGGCTAGAAGATCGTCTGCAAAGCATTGAGGATGTTGAGGCAGTGACTGTTTGAGACATCTTTGCAATCCAAGTAGAAAGGTTGTTTTAGACGAATATACTGGAGATAATAATAAGCAAAAATGTTTGTGACTAATGATGTAATCCATAATTGTGTAACACGAAATCGGCGGTCCAACTTTTTCGGCTGCCAGCCCGGCCTATCATGGAACAATTAAGGTATCGTAGAGTTAGTTGATTCGCGTCCTATTTTGGATATCTTGAACAGTATGCAGTATCTAATGTTGATAGTAATATTTATCACCTTCAACTAAAAATCCTTCTACGTGGATTATTATCAAAGAAAATAACTGTAAGCGGGCGCCCTACTCCAATTCGTGTAACAAACACTAGGCGTATTCCTTAATCTCTTAGGAAGAGAGGTATAATGCTACGACATCGAACATCTAATGATGTTAAAGTAAATTACGATGATTAATAAATAGCTACTTTCTAAAAATTGATTTCCAAGCGGATGATGTCTATATATAATAACATTACAATTTGATTTCTGTCATATGATAGATAAGATCTGTTCGTTTCGCATATAATAATAACGATATTAATATATAAGAAATGTACTAGCTAGTAAACAGAGACCGATGAAGATACTACTTTTTTCACAATGTTTGATTAATATAATTACACAGAAATTGTATTCAAAGCACGCTTATCGAATAAACCCTTGCAACTGGCATGTACAAATTTATTTGAAAGGCAGAAACCGTCGATACAGAAGAAATTGCACTCTGTGGTATTCGTTAAAGATTGTCGCCGACTATTAGTGAAGGGGCAGAACCTATCCCAGAAGCAACAGAAACAATCTCCCTCTACCTTGCCATCAACAATCTCCAAACCCTCCAAACCCTCCATGACATCATTGCCTTTAGAAGGACAAGAGACACCTACCTTGTCGAATTATCAGCTGAAATATCTGCAAAAAAGAGGGCCCTCCTAAGAAAATAAAAAGTCCTGTGGAAGAAGTTGCAGCAGAGAAGCCAGTGGAGAAGACAGAAGAGAAATCTGAAGAGAAGTGCAATGTGCCAGAAAATAGTACAGTAATAGATGAAAATGAATTTAATAGACTTACTATGGAATATAATAGTTTAGTTAGTGGGTCAAAGCAATTTGCTGAAACCCTTAGATTACATTTATATTATAATTTTATAAATAAGTTATTTATAATAGATAAAGACAGAACTATTCTGTTTAATAATTTAGCGGACTTAGAAGCAATACTAGAAGCGGGAGTTAATACTGATGAAGTTCAAGAGGAAGTGTTAGCTCAGGAAGAGCAATTTACGACCTGGTTAAATACTATTAATAGATTAAGAGATAAGTTCGATTTTTAGAACTAATTTCTCTGAAAACCAGGGAAGATTGTGAACAGCAAAATGATCGTTAGTAGATTTCATGTAGATCATTTTGCATTCTAGTATTACGCTAAGTCCGATTTATTATTTATATTTTATTGGATATAAAATACTGCGGTAGTTTAGAAATTAG